TTTGATATAAAGGAAGGTTGGAGATTGAGGATCCTTATTAACTGATATGTGGTATGATAGGTTATTAGATAAAATGCCTTATCATGCTTCAGTATGATAAGTATAAGTATGATAGTATGACTCAATGTACGACGTCAAGAAACGTGGTCTTGGTCATGCAGTTTACCTAAAACTTAACGAGAAGCTTTTATTGACAAATATTAAATTAGTCCTTTTGTAACACTGAAAATTATATGTGGAATTTCAAAATGCACATCAGTTGCTCTGCCTGTTTAAACCCAGCAATCCCACAAGGACAAATCAGACATGTGGATTTTCATCTTCTGGCATTACTAACTTTTGCAGACAGTAAGTAGTACTACATTTATACTTATACGACAAATAAATATGTCAAGTATTTCAAATTCGGGAGTTATTAATACATGAAAAATTTAACTTTAGGACAGGGAACAACATGCTCATCATACTCACTGGTCAAGCACTAGACCACACCTGTCCTTGCAACCTGTAACTGTGCATTCAATTTATTCTTACAGCTGAAGGTTCATGTCTGCTGTGGCTCTAACACAAACTCTGTCTAAAGACACACAGACATACACATAAATACATGCCAAATCAGGTTTGCGGTAGATCCCGTTATAGTGTCTCCAGGATCACATTTTACCATAAACACATGAGGAGCAAACAGTAACGGCAACTGCGTTATGGATGGTAACAACTAAAGTCAACAACTGGTTTCTGACTGTGGTTAAAGAGGAACAACTTGTCAAGAAATTAACATTAAATAAAAGTCGCAAAAACAAAAGTTAAAACTCTCCTGTCATCACGTTTTCCTCATGCTTAGCTTTCAAAAACCAGTTAACTTCCAGTTTTAATGCCATGTCAAACGAACCCTCTCCTGAAGACCGACTCTGACTCTGACTTGTGCATTAAGCATGCATTTACATTTCAAGACGTCATATTTCCTTATAAATAATGTCAAACATTAGCATGTGACATTTACCACAAAAAGTAAAACTTAAAGAGACTACAAAAAGAACGGGGTAAGAAAAATGATGTTTATTAGCAGCATGGCAAACCTAAGTGGATGTTAATGCTTCAGCTAAAACCCACAGAAGAATTCATGGTCATCTCATTCAAATTTTATAACTTAAAGCCCACTTGAATGAGTTTTTCAAACAAATCAAGCCATGTGCTTCTCTCCTTTAAGGGGAAAACAGAGCACCCAAGTTTAACACAAAACACTACTGCCCCTTGATAAAAGTGAACAAATCTGCTGCCAGTGTGTATGGATTAAATCATAAGTCTGAAATGGCATGACTCCACACTGTGAGTTACACTCAGATCTCTCCCAGACATCAAATGCTCTGGACATCCGTCACTCAGCCACTACATGACATTTATAGCCGCTGATGTGTTCGCTACTTTGCCTTTACTTTGATACTCAAAACAATACTTTCCACTGACACAAAGAGACACAAAAGTTATCCCAAAAAATACAGAAAAGGGACAAATTTTATAAGTGGTCTTGATTGTCTCCCTAGCTAGCATGTGTGTCAGATCTTAAAACCATGATGCACAGTTTTGCTGCAGAGACAAATGAAGGGCTGCATGGATTTGCAGGCCTATTTGTGGACTCTGTTTTATTTAGTCTGATGATAAACCTGAGAGAGACAGAGGTGGAGGAACTCGGAGCCTCGCCAGGGCATGATAACACCTTGGCAATTCAACACACATGTGCCGCAGCATGCTGGGCCACAGCCTTGGGGCAGAGCCTCAGCCAGCATGTGGAAGAGGTTTTCCACTCAGCTGAACATCCAGTACCTCCAATACGAAGGCCCTGGAGCCAGACCTAACTCTGTGGTATTAAGCATCGAAGCCAGCTGTGGATTAACACAATTTGCACCTCCTCTGTACAGCCACACCTCCCCGTGCAGGTCCTACTCGTCAGATTTAGCCCTTGGGTTTACCTTCATGGTCTTTATGTTAAAGCTTAAATGAAATTTTAAAAAGAGAACATTTCAGGGACATGCCATACACAGAAAGACAGGCTTCTCTCAGGAAGCCAGGTCTTGTTACTGAAGATATTGTATTTACAAAGAGCAAATTCAATTCAAACGCTGAAGCGTAATTGGAGCGAGAGAATCTAATTTAGCATCGCTGCACCCCACTGCTGTTTTAAAATGCTTGAACAACTTTTTGAGGCATTTTGTTACATCCAGAATGAGCTGAGACACTGTGGCATTCATACCATTTTCTCTCATATCTTTCCATCAAGCCATCACTCACTGGTGGGGACCTAAACATAACAAGCTTATTATGTCAAAGGTTGGGACATCTGTGTTTTATATAGAGAGATTCTTAAAACACCTGTCATAGTGTCCCCACTCCACTCAACAGTTTGACATTTCCAGGAAGAGTCTCTTATCTCACAATGCTTTTTTTTTTTTTCTTAAATTCGATGAGATTTGGATCAAATCTATTACTCTTGTTTAATAATGCAACTAGCTATTACAAAGCTATTCTCCTTTCTTGTGCAATGAAGATTCAATATGGAAGGGTCATTCGTTTTACTTTGCTTAAGAGCTTTTCAGAGGCACACACACACAGACAGTCACATAATTGTTGACTCTCATAAAATATTCAAAACACAAGAAGGAATGGTCTTCAAGAGGAGAAAATAAGCAAGAAAGGGGAAACTGGAGGAATAGAAGGAAAGAGCAAATGCTTTAAAGAGTGAAGCATAAAGAAAGGCAAAAGAAAAGGAAGAAGTGTTTATCGGGAGGAAAAACGAAAGGAAGGAATGGAAGGAGATATGAAGATAGGGTGGAGGGTTAAAGAGTACGTGAGAGGGAGAACAGTAGGAAAGTTGTGAGGGCATCAATGAGGAAGAAATAAGCTTCAAATAAAAATCAAAAATAATAAGGGAGGGATGTCTGAGAATAGTCATGCCCTTGCTGAGGAGACAGGATGGCTACATGACATAGACAGATAAGGGAATTTTCATGCAGCAGTGATTCTGGGGATTTTTCAAAGATAGAAGGAAGCTTTCAAACAAGTATAAAGAGATTCTGTCTCATTGTACAACCAGTCATATTCTTCTAATGTGCCCACAGACTCCCCGTCTTTCTGTGTTAATGAACCGTTAAACTTGAAAACTTGCTGAGACTTATTTGCCACAGTTTGAATAACAAAGAAGAACAGGAGGTGTTTGTTGCTCCAAGTGTTCTAAGTATTTCCACATGTCAAACACAAACGTCTAATCGATATTGTGGGTTTAGTATATTTATGAGTGATGGATCAATAGAACTGACCTGACCAAGCTTTTGGTGGTTTTTGGCACAAAGAAAGACCAGCAAAAAGAGTGCTGACGAGTGGCTTAGCTGTTGTTGACCCACTGTGGGCGGAGCCTCACACTGTGAGAGAGCTTGTGGTGGGGGAGGTAGGATTCGGGGGCTGCACTGCCCTTTGACACGACCTTGCCACATGAGAAGGGAACCAACACCTACTGTAGGCCTGCCAAAGAGCACAGGTTAAGGTAAGACACTGAATTATCCACTTCAGCAACGATCTACTTACACTGCCTTCCCGTTATTGGATTCATCTAAATGTAGGATCTCAGGATTTATCCGCCAAATAAATTAAAAACAGCAAAGTGTCAGTTTCTGTTGATTCTACTTCTTGGTGAGCAGCATTACTTAAGCCAGTGTACCATACACCAACCTACTGAATAACAGTAGCTCATTAAACCTTCAAACTGCTTTGTATCTTACATTGAAAACCAAACACCAGGTATTCTAGAAATCTACCTGGACAATGTGCTCACAGCCGCCATTCAATGGAGCTAAATAACTGACACCTTTCACAGTCTACACAGGACAGAGGCTTACATTCATCACACACATTCAGCCACACTTAAAAAACTGAACCTAAAAATAAACATAATATCTCAGTCCTGCCGAGCTGTAAAATAAACAGTGCAGTAAAAGCAGGTTATTTTTGTGTTATACACATTTTTAGTAAACTTTTTTTTTAAAAGGAGATAAGAAAAATCTAACTGAGCAAATTATCCCATTTGTATTCAAGTATTTTTATTAAAAGGTTTAAATAATACATAAAAACTGGGATATTAATACATTCAAGTTTAACAGACCTCTGAGCGCAGGGTTGAACAAGGTACAGAACAAGGTGTTGTGCTGTAGTCTTAGATGTATAGAGTTCACAGATGACAGACATTAAATACAAGCTCTTTATCTGGTTTGCAGATGTTGACTGGAGCTTTAAGAAATGACCTTCATTCAGTATTAGACTGCCCTCAAGTGTTCATAGCTGAAAGCTATTCTGAAAGGTTTTCTGTTCTAAAAGGTTTTTGTAGGTTACTATTAAATAATACTTAACACAGTGGATTAACTAAAAACAAATGCCGCCTTATCTCTGGATACGATTTAAATTCACAAACTTTGTCTTCACTTTGGTGAAAAATCTAAAACAACCAATTCTTTAAAAAATAGCAGGCACAGCTTTTATATCTCAAATGCTAGTAGACGTAAGTATAGCAGCATAGTTACTATATAGCAGACACAGCAATAATACGTTTTTAATGCACCTTTTTTCTGACAGCGGATGTCAGAAAGTGTTATTTCCCAACAGACATGGGAAATAACACTTAAATTAACTGTTTAGGTGAACTCCTTAACTAGTAATTACACATCAATTGTTTTAATTGGCATAAAAAGAATAAAAATGGTGTACAAAATAACAGAACTACTAACAGTATTAATTTCTGTAGTGTTGTTATTTTATATTTATGGACTTGAAGTGCTAGTACATGAGCAGAAGTCAGAAAAAGGATCAGTACTATTAGCTGTAATCATAGCAGTATTATGTGTAGGAAAGAGCTGCGATGTCCGTTTGTCTGGTGGTTGTAGTTGTAATACTTGTAATACCACTAAAATGTAGCAAATGTAGCAAAAGAAGCAGTATTAAAAGCACCACTGGCATAGTACGAGTGTTAGTAGTGCTGTGGAACTAAAAGCAATATGGGTCACATAATTGGCAGTAACGGTAGCAGTAGTAGTTGTAGTAGCAGTATTGCCAATAATAATGTTGTGCTCACATTTTGGTTGTGGTCTGTTTACAGGTTATGAATGTGTCAGGAAAGAAGCTCTGCTAAGAGAATGAACAATTGTAATCGGTGAGTAATCGATACAAATTTAACATCCGTTTTATGCTTTCTGTCTCCCGATTCATTGACTGCACTGCCAGAAAGTTTTTGTCAAGTCTTGACAGGGCAGAGAATATAAATTAGCAGGGATTGTAAACACATTAGTTTTCTGCATATGTCGGCCATTCAGCAAACAGCTTCGGTTCCAGTCTTGTTCAAGCTTTGGATAGTTAAATGGTCTTAAATGTCATCAAAGCTTTCTTAGCAGTTTTACCACTCAATGATGTTTTCATAAAAAATAATAAGATAATAATAATAAGAAAAACGTTTTAACGTTGATTAAATTTTTATGGTCACGTTAATAAGTTAATAAGACAGAGCATGCAAGTTTTCTATATCTAAAATTTAGATACAGTGTTAATTACTGTCATGGATAAAAGAGCTAATGAGTTCATTTTCAAAACATTTTGTTGCTTTTCTTATAACAATTTATTAGCTAGCTTGTCGTCCTGTTTCGTCAGACCTTTTTTCGTTGCTGTCACTTAAAACAGATAAATTCTTTATATTTTATACATTTATTAAGATAAAACATATTTCGTAGCGTGAGTTGAGAATGACATTTGTTTATTTATTTACTTAATTAACTTTTACTTACACTTAAATTCATTAGTAACGTATCTCCAGCTGGAACGAACCATAAACAAATATAGTGTGGGGGGGTTCTGTCTGTAGCAGACAGACTTCAAGACAAATATAAACATACAGAGAAGTGTCTTTGGTTTTTAATTTGTATTTTAGACCCAATTAAAACAGTCAAACACACTTTAATTATTAAAAAAATATTTAAAAGTATCTAAAAATGTCGATAAACATTTTTTAAGGGAGCCTAAAATTCAATAGGCACGCCCCAAGATTTTGAGATGAGTCACAGGTTGGTTCGTGTCCCAATTCAGGGTCTGCACGCTTGAAGTACGCGCACTATGCGTACTACGTACGGTGCATACTATAAGTACGAGAAGTGCGGGAACGTTACATACAGCTTTGTGTGACAGAAATGAAGGAGAAAAAATGTTTTGTTGGTCATTTATTTTTGTCATGACATCACTTTGATTAGTTGAGTATCTGAGGCTGAGACCACAGGACTGTAAAACATGATAGTTGGGCTTCATTTCTGTACTGAACAGTCATTTCAAGAGTAGTTAGTAAATAACAATTAGCTC